ACCAGGATGGTCTCGATCTCTTGACCTCATGATCCACCCGCCTCGGCCTCCCAAAGTGCTGGGATTACAGGCTTGAGCCACTGCGCCCGGCCTAATAATTTCTAAATGTATAAATTGTATCCCTAAACCTGGTGCCACATTTTTAATGATCTGCCTGGTTTCTATGTTTGCTACCAGGATCTCAAACTTAATATATTCCAAACCTAATAGCTCATCGGTGAATGACAGATTTCACAATTGGGACATCTTGCATGGGTGGTATCAATGGTAGTTGGAGAAGACAAATTTTTTCAATTATGATATTGGTTACATATAAAAAAAATCACCTGTTTTAAGTGTATGGTTGGATGAATGTTGGTAATTATATACAATAGTGTAACCACCACCACAGTTAACATAGAGGACCTGTTCTAAAGTGTTCTTATGCCCCTTGAATTTGATCACTTTCTCCCATGCTTGACTCCAGGCAATGACTAGTCTGTTATTTTGTCATAAAATTATAATTTTCTTTACTAGAATGTCATATAAAAGGAATCATATTGCATTTACTCTTCTTGTTTGACATATTGTACTCAACACAATGATTTTGAGACCCATCCAAGTTGATGCTGATTAGTGTTCCACGGGGTCGATGTACCACAGCTTATGTATGCATATTTGGATAAATGCATATTTGGATTGTTTCCAGTTTTTGGTCATTATGAATAATAAAATGTAGACTATAATATAAGAATAGGCAAGTGTCTTTTCTTCAGGTGATAAGTCATATTAGGTGGTCTATTTATACCCCTTCCAACACTTTGATATAATTATGCACCTCTTGGCTGGGTGTGGTGGCTCACACCTGTAATCACAGCACTTTGGGAGACCAAGGTGGGCGGATCACAAGGTCAAGAGATGGAGACCATCCTGGTGAAATCCCATCTCTACTGAAAATACAAAAATTAGCTGGGCGTGGTAGTGCACGCCTATAATCCCGGCTACTTGGGAGGCTGAGGCAGGAGAATCGCTTGAACCCGGGAGCGGGAGGTTGCAGTGA